AGTTGTTGCAAATACAATGACATTGTCCAGGTACACTAGGGCTATCCTCCATTGTAGGCCTTCCAATACTCGTTTCATCAGCTTTTCTTGGTAGCCGCCTTTACTGCTGAATCGTCTTCCCTGTGTTAAAGTTGCCAGCATTGAGCTCTCTTGTGCCCAGGTTTGTTACAGTGCCAGCAAAGTCCCTCAAACTTCTCTGAAAGCTGACCTTTTCTGGCCTTGAATCCAGATGACTGTACCCGCCTCGGTACCTCTGTGCTGGACTTAACGTAGGATTCAAATTCGAGAGCTCTGGCCATTGCATCCTGCATGGTAGAGGTGCGTGCTTGCTTTACTTGTATCTTAAGTTGGGGACTGTCCAAGGCATCTACGAACTGATCTCTCAGCAACAACTTGAGGAGATCGGGTGGCGCAGTTGGGTAGGCCTTGTGTGCCATGCTTTCCAAATCCTTTGCCAGCTCTTGCAGGCTCTTCCCTTTAGCACGGACTCTCGTCCTAAACCTAGCCCTGTAGACTTCAGACTGATTTTGGGTTCCATACCTGACTTCTAGAGCTGCTACCAGTGCTCTATAGTTGTGCCTGTCATCTACTGACAACTGTCCAAGTATTTCCAGTGGTTGTCCCTTCAAGCTCATTGCTTTCTGCTCCTCTGTCCATCCACTCATCTCTGCCAGTAGCTCAAATTGTGCTCTATATGCTTCCCAGGATGCCTTCCCGTCGAATTCCTTTGGCTTCCTTCGTACTAGATCACCCCTATTGCTGACACTCATGTTTGGAATGTGACTTCTGACAGGACTGAAGATGTCTGCATTAGGGTTTAGCTGCGGGGTCTTAAATAAAACTAGTTTATTCTTTCTCAATACAACTTTGCAATACACTTAATTTTCACAGTTACTTTAACTTAAACACACGCTATAATTCACAACGATTCACACACTTTACTTACGGTCACTACCGAGCTTGACTCAACTGTCCGTCTCTGTCTCTGCCTATCTGCAATTATCTATGCTGTCACTTCTTGCCGGTCTTGTATATACAAAATAGAGGGCGTCTGGCAAATACTCGAGCCTTCAGGAACCTTCTAGATACTCATTACGTGTAACCAGAGTCACGTGACTTCCGCTGTCGTAACAATATTTTATGCATTAATTCCTCCTGAAGTTGGCTAGGCGTAGCCTAATGATTAGTGTGCTGGACTATGGATTTACGGGCCTATCGCTCGCATCATGTTACCCCAAAAGGTGAGTACGTTATAATGGTGATGGTCAAGTAAGAGTAGCCCAAGAGTTGATAGTGGGTGTTGTTGACTATCTACGTTCCTTCAAGTCAATCAATTGAAAATTACGTTCGGCTAGTACATATTGTCCTTGGTTAACTTTACGCGAATACACAGAAACAAACAAACAAAATAGTTACAGGAAAATATTATACAGAGGTTGAGTACGTTAAAACGATTCTGGAGCTTCTCCTTGTCGTTACACTTCATGGCGCTTAGCCCTATCATTGCCTATCTGACGACCGTGCATGCTGCTAATAGTCTTGCAGGTTAGTTTCCATTGCAAAACCTCTATTGTAAAACTAACATTTCTGAAGCACACCTCTCCTCCCTGCAGCTTTTCATAAGTTATGTAGTGTATAATGCAAATATTTTAAATAATCCAATCACAGAATAATTCATAGGAGCTGCATTCAGCAACTGGACCAATATGTCTTCCTATGTAATAGTATAAATACTTGTACAATTTTCAAAATATTTGAGGTGTACAAATGTTGATTGTACGTGTCATGGAAACAGCTTGCTTACATATGACTTCTGTCATTTTTTCAGACTGAGATACTTCTTGATCATTTTGCATATTGTTTCCTGGGACATGTCGACAGCCTTTCTCTTTCACCCTTGTGTTTATAGATCCTTATCTTTGACAATATTCTAGTTTTGCTTACCATGGCTGGGGTACAATTCGTTGCAGGTGTCCTTCTGGACACTTCAGAATAAAGGAAATCTGAAATAAAAGATTTTATCATGGTTGCACTTGCATTATTTTTTATCTGGAACCAATGCTCTAGCAGAGATGGACTTCTCTCTTGCTAACAAATACACATCAACTATTACAATGAAGCAACCCAGGTTGTCAAGAACATCTAATAGATATAAGTTATCAGTATTAACTTCCGACCTTATCAAACTACTCACTTAAAGCAAATTTAAAGACAAACTTGATATTGAGTATAGCTAATTGAATATATTTTCCTTACATTCTAACTTACAGAGATTAGAA